CGGCGGCACACGTGCCAACTGAGAGGGCTCCGAGTGCCGCCTCTGGCACGCGTGCCATAGGTTCGCCACCACTGGCTTAGGCCAAACCTCCCCTTCCTCTTGGCATGGACAGATGTTGCTTTCCCCTCAGTCCTTCCTCCCATCCAGTCTTGTTCCTCAAGTCCTGCAGCCCGGAAGGAAGAACTTTATCTCAGCCTTCACCTGACCCGTTCTTGCTCTTCATCATTCTTGCCTGAAGCTGTAGAAATAGCAAAGGGTCACGACAGCCAAAACCCCCCGAGATTTAACTGCAAGGAGAGTAACGTTTACCTTTCAGTCTCGGGTCTCCTCCAAAAGCGCCACAGCCCCAGTTTCCTGTCGCCACCGCTGGAAGGTGATGTGGAGGGACGCCAGGCCGAGAGAAGCCACAGTAGGCCTGCGGGCAGAGAAGAAACTCTGTGTTGGTTTTTCAAGTGCCCGTGACGAGGGTCGCTATTATTATTATTATTATTATTATTATTATTATTATTATTATTATTATTATTATTATTATTATTATTATTATTATTATTATTATTATTATTATTATTATTATTATTATTGGATTTGCTGTTTTTAAGCCACAGCGTCAATCCGACGTTAAGGGCACAGCTGCAAAAATAAAATTTAAACAAAACAAAAACAAAACAAAACTCGACAGAGCAAGAGGGATTAAGAAGTTACTGGCCTTGTTCAGCTCTCTTCTGATTTTCTCCGGAGTGAACTGATCGAGAAAACATCGGAAATGAAAAGCGTCTATGGCCACAATTTCCGTGCAGCGTCTCTGCCATTCATCCCTGGCAAAGGAAAGAGAGAATGAGGGAGAGAGGGAGGGAGGAGAGGGGAAGAGGAAGAGAGAGGGAGAGAAAGAGGAGAAGAGAGAGAGGGGGACAAAAGGGGAGAGAGGAGAGAGAGAGGGAGAAAGGGGGGGAGAGAGAAGAGAGAGGGGAGAGAGAGAGGGACAAAGGGGGAGAGAGAGAAGAGACAGGGGAGNCATGGCTCAGCTTGGAAACCTCTCCCTCTCCCCTCAGCATGGCTGGCTCAGGAATTCTGGGAGTTGAAGTCTACGGGTCGTAAAGGAGCCAAGGTTGCCTACCCCTGGTCTAGGAGGCTCACCGCTTAGAACAGGAGGACTTAGGCCATAGGTAGGCAACCTTGGCTCTTTTATGACGCGTGGACTTCAACTCCCAGAATTCCTGAGCCAGGATGGCTCAGCTTGGAAACCTCTTTCTTTCCCCTCAGCGTGGCTGGCTCAGGAATTCTGGGAGTTGAAGTCCACCAGTCCTAAAAGAGCCAAGGTAGCCTGCCCCCGGCCTAGTACTTAAGGCTAGAAAGTAAGGCACCGTGAGTTCTAGTCCTGCCTTAACCCTGAAAGCCAGCTAGGTGACTTTGGGGCCCGTTAATCTCTCTCAGCCCAGCCCACCTCACAGGGATAGTAAGAAGAGGAAAGTGTGTTGGATACGTTCACAGCCTTGAGTTATTTATAAAACATATTCAAAGCAAGATATAAGTAAAACCAACCAAACAACCAATAAAAAGCTGCCCAACTCAAAGAAGATTCTGGGCCGACTATCACAGATCCAACGCACAGATTAAAAGCACATTAAACGTCCCCTATTTGCACGGATCAAAACCACAACTCTCCAGTAATTACAACTGGGGAGATATTTCTTAAGGGAGTTGGAGACAACTACTCAACCTTTTTTGACAAGGCCTGCAGCGAGGGCCTCTGGTTATAATAATAATAATAAAGTTGGAAGGGACCTTGGAGGTCATCTAGTCCAACCCCCTGCTCAGGCAGGAAACCCTATACCATTTCAGACAAATGGCTGTCCAGTCTCTTCTTAAAAATTTCCAGTGTTGGAGCATTCACCACTTCTGGAGGCAGGTTGTTCCACTGGTTAATTGTTCTAACTGTCAGGAAATTTATATTTAGTTCTAGGTTGCTTCTCTCCTTGATCAGTTTCCATCCATTGCTTCTTGTCCTGCCTTCAGGTGCTTTGGAGAATAGCTTGACTCCCTCTTCTTTGGGGCAGCCCCTGAGATATTGGAAGTCTGCTATCATGTCCCCCCTCGTCCTTCTCTTCGTTAAACTAGACGTACACATTTCCAGCAACCATTCCTTATATGTTTTAGCCTCCAGTCCCCTAATCATCTTTGTTGCTCTTCTCTGCACCCTTTCTAGAGTCTCAACATCTTTTTTGATACGTTATGATGTATAAGATCCATGGTCTTCAGCATCTATTCTCACGGAAAGCACGTTAGCTCGGTTGAGTCGAGCTTCGCCCAAATTTGACTGGTCAGTACCAAATCCAGTTTTTTTTTTTAAAAAAAAAAATTTCACCAAGATGTTTTCCTTGACCTCTCCTAGTAAGCACTGCCCATCCCTTCTGTATCGTCGACGGTGCTTCCAAAAGGAAAGGAGGGAGATGATACGTACCCACCACTTGGCCCCTCTTGGTCAGAAAGGTGTGCATGCTGTAAATGTCTCTCATCAACTCCGCATCTCCAAACGTGAAATAAACCACGTCGCGTCCAGCCTCAGCAGCTGCCAAGATCTGTATTAAGGCTAAATCAAAGGAAGAGAAGAACCAGTGATCAATGGAGGAGGAGGAGGAGGAGGAGGAGGAGGAGGAGGAGAACTGAAGTGAGGCTTCCACAACAAGCAACCTGCACTCAGGTGCTTCTCATGCTCCAAGCAAGGAGAAACAGCCACTATGTTCAGGAGATGTTATCTACCTGAGGGGGTGGACAACATGAGTTTGTCCTGGGAAGATTGAAACTGTAATTCAACAACACGGAAGGCAAGGGCTGCTTATCTTTTAGCTAGGACAGGGTAGGCAACCTTGGCTCCTTTATGACTGGTGGACTTCAACTCTCAGAATTCCTGAGCCAGCCATGCTGAGGGGAAAGGGAGAGGTTTCCAAGCTGAGCCAGGAATTCTGGGAGTTGAAGTTCACGAGTCATGAAAGAGCCAAGGTTGCCAACCCCTGAGCTAGGCGGTCAAGACAAGGCGAGCAAAGGGTAAGAAAAGCGGATGCTTTCCTTATCTGCTTTTAGAGATCTCCCGATAAAATAGCTGACGTTTCTACAGGTCAACCTTAACAGGTTAATTCGCTACAGCTTCAACAACACTGTGGTGCCCTCGGGGGGGGGGGCATGCAAAAACCAGGGGCGCAAAAACGGCCACCGCTGCACCACCGCGGGGTGCAGATACAAGGCGCTGCACCAAGCAAGGATGGGGCAGGGCTAGTGAGTATCATGCAGGCACTAGCTCCACCTCATTTGCAGCGCGTGCATACTCGCGGCCCCGTGCGTGCACACGCACATGTCAAATGCTTCTCCCTCCCTTTTCTTCCAGCCCGCCAATCGACAATGGTTGGTTGACCTCTGCTCTACCACCTCTACTCGAGCTTGCTAGTCGGCCGCTTCGCCTCCTTTGTGCTGGGCGGGGCTCCTGCTCTGGGCGGTGGTGGCGGCCTGATGGACCTGCTGCTGGCGGCGGCACACGTGCCAACTGAGAGGGCTCCGAGTGCCGCCTCTGGCACGCGTGCCATAGGTTCGCCACCACTGGCTTAGGCCAAACCTCCCCTTCCTCTTGGCATGGACAGATGTTGCTTTCCCCTCAGTCCTTCCTCCCATCCAGTCTTGTTCCTCAAGTCCTGCAGCCCGGAAGGAAGAACTTTATCTCAGCCTTC